ATGGAATGAAGGACGCAGAGGTGCAACAAGGGCAAATGTAACTCTTGCAAAATCTTGTGTGACGGAGTAATAATGAAAGACCACGAACCGTCTCTGAAGCAAAGTAAAAACCGGTGTCAATTCCCTCTTTAATAGGAGCCGTCACTCAATTAAAAATGGAATTTGGGGCAAAATGTGGAGGGAAAAAACGCCCTCCAATAAAAAGCGCACACGTCACCACTACCCATATCTACATTCCAAGGACGTATAAGGCCCATCATGCTCAAGCCCAAGTTGAGGGTATTTATAGCCCAAGACCATTGTTATTTGTCCTCCAATTTCCATCAAGGCCGAATCAAGAAGTCATCAGCCCAGCTTATGAGTATTTAACATCTGGCCTGTTACTCAAGCCCAGCCGGATCAGAATATATTCGGCCCAAGAATGCACAAGTCCTACCATATGGAGGATTTACTGTAGAAGAAAATTCTATAGGAAGTTCTGTACAAGGCAAGTTCTATGTATGGAAAATTCGACAATGGAAAAAACCCTATTAGCAAAGAATGGTTATATAGAAAGAATTGGAGGGCAAGCAACGCGAGTCCTACCATAATCTTGCAATCTTTTGTATATAAATAGAGGCTAAGACCTCCAATAAAAGATCAAGCAATTATACGCTTCTCTACACACTGTTCTTATTTATTTTTATTGTTTTTAAGTGAGTTGTTTTATTTCTCTCAATCATTATTGGTTGGGCGAAATTTTGCACCTACAATATTCCATATATATAAATGCATTTAAATATTGTATCTAAAATACGCCGTCTTCTTCCATGAAGCTTCCATTAATTAACTCTTCAAAGACTCACAACAACTTTTGAACTTCAAAACTTCACTTCAAAACCCAAACACACTTCAAAAACCCATGTAATTGTACGTCGTCTTCTTCATTTCTCTCTCTAAAAGCTTCATCAACTTCCATTAATGGACTCTCCAAAGACTCAACGTAACTTTTGAACTTCAAAACTTCACTTCAAAACCCAAACACACTCCAAAAACCCATGTAATTTCATTGGACTATTATGCAGAAACTCCAGAGTATCATCTATAGATCTAAGCTTTGTTCATCTAATCTCAATTTTGGGTCTGTTTTTTCTTATCTGATTAAAGAGCACAAATATGACTAGTTCACACTCTCTTTAGTATAATTTTGTTGGGATTTTACGTATAACATAAACATGAAATATAGTTAGTATTGCTTGGAATACAAAATACATATTGCTTAGGATGTTAAGTAAGATTATGTTGGGATGTTACGCACAACTTATACTGACTTAAATTACAAACTGTTGGGATGTTATGTACAAATAATGCGCACAACTTATATTGACTTAAATTACAAACTGTTTGGGATGTTATGCAGTACACAAATAATTAAAAAAAAAAAACCATACCAGTCCAGATGTTGTTCTGTTCCTATATTGCTATGTTAATTTGGAATAAAATAACTTAGCATACAAAGAAAGTGAGAAAAATTTATGGAAATTGAGAAATAGATGTGTGATTTGTTTGTGATTCGTTTTGAAAACAAATCAAAGAAAATTATTTAGATTTGAAAGAAGAAGAAGAGAATAAGTAAAAAACGATCTCTTTCTCTCTTCGAAACCTTTGGGCAAATCTAAGCAACTGGCGGGATTTGGGTTGATTGATATTTTTTGTTAAAATTAACAAAAGACTCACAACAAACAATATTTTGGAAAGAAATAAAAATTTGGGTTGTTGAAATGGCATGATTTTAGAAAGAAATCAAAATCAATATTTTGGGAGAGAAGAAAACGGCGGAATTTGGGTTGCTGAAAATAAGGGAAGGAAGAAAAAATAGTATTTGTGAACATATACATATATATAGAAAGAGAGAGAGAAAAAAATTGTGTATAAAACAAATAAGCATTTTTACCACCTTAATAACTACTATTCTCATTAACAAAAATGGAGGAAATAGGCTACTGTTGGGCTGGAGGTGATCCTGGTCCTCCACTTACAGTCCAACTCCAAAGGTATGTTTCATTGACTTTCAATTTTTAATTTTTTTTTTTTTAATACATGAATAAAAGTGCTTTAGTAGCCATTAAAAAAAAGAAAAAAGAAAAAAAAAAAAGGGGATTAAAAATGGATTAATCTATTCATTCTTTTCATAAATATAAATAAAAATTGTGATCCAAGTGTTAAGGTTTATTTCATAATGATTAAATAATGTATTATTTTTAAAGATTAAGGATTTAAGTCTCTTACTAGAATAATAGAGTGCTTACGCGTAATTTATTTATCAAATAAAAATTGAAAAAGTTCGTTGGTTGGAGATGAAAATAGCAAGGAAGGAAACGAAATGAAATTTTTTTAAACACTTCAAAATTTTGGATAAAAAATTTCTAAGTAAAATGTTTATAACCACCTAACTCCTATAAAAAAATTTCTACAATAAATAATGGAAAAAAAAAATGATTTCTTGATAAATTTTATGATTTTATAATAACGTCCTCTTTTTTTGTTTGGTGGGTTTCATACATTTCAAATTAGAAAATACAAAGTTTTCATTGGTGAAAGTATTTCATGCTGATGAAATGCATATTGGAAAATTTATTTTATTTTTCACTATTAATTTTCATTTTCATCCTATCAAATGAATGTAATTTACCATGTGTAGGGGAGGGCTAGTTGTTAGAGGGAGAGAGAAAAAGGAGGGAATCTAACGACTATTCAAGACACCAACAACCTGTCAAGAAGATTAGGTGAAGGAGAGAAGAGGAGGATGGGGTTTAAATCCCAATTCCGCGCTCAATTATTGAACACTTCCAACCATGTCATGACAACAAATTGTCACTCAAACAACTTTCTTCTTTTCGGACCATTCGGAAAAGAAAAAAAAAACTTTCTTTCTTTTCGGTGCCACGACTTACCAAGTAAGAATAAATTTATAAACACTGTCATATACATAAATATATATGCACACACAAACCCTAATGAACCGCAATCATATTTTTGATAAAAATCCATGGGACTATTTATTTTATTGCTTTTCCTAAGTGACTATATATTAATATATACATCCAATATTATGAATTTTACCATTATTTGTTATGTAAAAGGTTAATGGAATCATTGAAAAATGACAATAAGGAAATGCACTTTGGATGGTGGGGGAGGTTTTCACTTATAAAATTGGTGGTGGAATGAAAAATAAGTCTCAAATGGAATTTGTGTTCCCGGGTTCATATTCATGTCATATCATGATATGAATATTTTGTTAGATTTGTCGATAAAAACATGATACTATTATTAATTGTATCAAGAAACTTGAACTTGATATGAATTATACGGTAATAGAACACGACACACGATTTAATAAATGGGTCAAAATTTAAGTCATTTTTACACAAATACGACATGTTTGTCTGACATATTTAGCTAAATAGATCATTTTTAAAACAACAAAGTTATTTGAAGTTAAACAAATTATAAATGAGTTAGTGGTTCAAACATAAACACAACATGTTTAATTACCGTGAACCCAAACTCACTTATCCACGTTGCAGGAACGGAGCCAGTGAAGGCCTTGGGGACACGTGCCCCTTGAGTTGGCCCGCAACCTATAATATATGTGGTAATTTTTTTAATTCTTTCCATATTTATGAAAAAAAATTATACAGTGCTTCCTCAATTTTGTAATTCCTAAAATTATATCTTTATTTTTTCTTTATTTTCTCTTTTACTTTTCAAATTCATTAAATTTCCTTAATATAAAAAGTCAAAATTTCCTTCCTCAATTGAAACTTTTTAACTTTTTCCTTTTAAAGTTCTCTCATTTTTCTTTCCTTTTTCTTTTTCTACTTCTACTCTAAAAAATCTTCTTTTTAACTTACATATTTGAATAATTTTCTTCTTCGTTGTCTTTTGAAATTTATAGTTGTTATATTATATATATATACACTCCCCCCCCCCTCCCCGCCAACCCATTTGAAATCCTGCCTCCGGCACGCCGTGTTGTGTCAAATACTGTCACCCGGCCCTGCCTCAAGCTGAAGCTGATAAAACTGACACTCACTACCATGTGGGAACATGACCTGAAGCTTAGAGAAGATTGAAGAAGGCCCATACAGACTTTGCCCAATGTAATCCAGGTTGGGCTCTCGATTGATTATAAGGCCTTTATTATAAGCCCAGCATCCTTTAGGCCTGGGTTTGAGCGAACAGAAGACCAGCCCAGTATTCCCCCTTAGCATTTGGATCAGAGTTGTAGCTTGGTATGATTCTAGTCCTACTACATATAAAATGGGCCTGAATTTCAGCCCAATACAAATTTATCATACGATTTGTTTGGTAGAGTGGAATCCACTATTATGGAGCAAGTTCTAAATTTTGACGTACATTATCTTCAGTTCCATTTCTAAGACCGAGTTTCGTGTTACCAAACACTTCGCAGGTTATGTTATAAACCGTAGTTTTATTTGGTCATGTTGACATATATATCCTAAGAAAATTAAGGAAATAAGGATAAATCATTATGGTCTTTTCCCTAATTTAAAAAACTTTTTCCAATTTACGAATAAAATTAGTATGAATCATATATGTATGTCACTTTTGTTTATTTGTTTTTGTACTCCCTCTCTAAGTTATATAATTATTCTAATATGGTGTGATTATCTCAGCGCGCTATAATTTAAATTTTGCACGTCAGATAGCTCCCTCCACCCCCCTTTATTATCATTTCCCTTTTAGAAAACACAAAAGTGCTCTATGATATATATACATTGAAATAGTATATATTTTAATCTTTGTTTTCAAGTACAAATTTTCAAAAAATGCTCAAATAGAGCAATTATCAAACTGTTTTTTTTTTTTATTTTTTATTTTTAAACTAGCATTAACTCGGCTATTTATGACTCATCGGCGCTCTCTAAACCCCTGTTTTTTACACAATTGCATATCTCAGCCGAATTGTAGACAAAACCTTCTAGACATGCAAGTCCAAAACATTGTCTGTGCTGGCAAAACACTGTACCATTTCTTAAAAAGATAAGACAACAAAGCCCTTGAAAAGTACCTACATAGCTCCACCATAACAACACCATAATTGTTCTGTTGAATGCAGTTGACATTATTTGGATTTTGGACCTCATCAGTAGGCCCCACCTAACATAACAAAAACATGGGACCCACCACTGTCCCGTACCATCTCTTCTATATCTACAACCACATGTTTGCCTTCTGTGGTGTCAAACTCTCGTACGTGGCTCCTTCTCAGTCGTAGAACACCTTCCAACCCAGAAAGCAACAGTACGGCAATTTTTTTACAGTGGCGATGGATAATATCAACAAACGTTTTTTCCATTTCCTTGCTGTGGTGTGCATGACGTCAGCACTGGCTTCATCAAATGATAGGACCGTGGCTCCACGCGCCATTCTCTCTCCTCGTTTTTATTTGTTTGGGGCTCAGATGATGGGACCCAGGTGATATGTGCCGCGTCAGCGGGGCTGAGAGCCGTTGATGTATGGAGGGACCGTGGAGATGCCTTGTTTGTAGAGCTCAGTGAGGACACTGTCAGTGGAAGGAGGTTTTAGCCCCAAAGGCAGGGGAAGCCATGGCTTGCTGATTGCCTCCTTCACAACCTTATCAATTACCTCCTCCGCCTGCACAATTCATATCAAATTTAAGGTCACTTTTGACATTTTGACTCCACATTTCCGGGTTAGAGGAAGCACCACAATGCATCGCGCTGGACGGCTATAATCACTCACACATGTGAAACGGTCACAGTTGAGTAATCACAGCCATGCAGTTCAACACTGTGTTGTGCACCTTGGAGGATCCAATCCGGACTCCATTTCCTAATGAGTTCCCGCCAAAGAGTTTGAACCAAATGGGGAGCCGCAGACTCCCTATTCAATGAATACACTCAACCAGGTCCTACATCACTCCTAATTGAGTCTAACGGATATCACATCAGAGACACGGTTCTTACTCTAAAATAACATGCCTTGGCTTTTACCATTATGATACAAACAGTTTTGCTATCTAATTAAATGATTGAACTCAACCAATTAAGAACCATGACAATGAAAAATAAAAAACATGACAATTGATCCAATAATAAGAACCATGACAATGAAAAATAAAAAACATGACAATTGATCCAATAAAAATAAGGATGGCAATACTTGTAGCACAAACTCAATTTATTTCACAAACACCTTAATCGACAAACTAGGATTGAATACAAAAATAGTCCAACCATTACAAGGAAAAGCATGGTTCTCATTACTATTATTGTAAATTTGGCACTCTTAGCAAGTTGCAAGCCTACAATTCACATCTTGGTTTTTCAGAACCCATTTGGACACGCTCTCATATGCATATTAAACACTGAGCAAGACAATGGCATATAATTCATATCGTAAAATTGGGAACCAGGAATGTATTAGTTCAAACTTTATACTATAATCTAATTTCAAGTCAACATACTGATTTCATGCTGCCAATTGCAACACACAACAAAATTTTCTAATTCTAGGACCTCAGGATTTCATTTCTAAATCAAGCAGACTAAAATTGTTTTCAAAACATTAAATAATGAAAGATGTTCAATTACCGGTTGAAGGTCAAAAGAATTCTGAGGCATGCTGTAGCTGTTATGCATCGTATCAGCTATATGAAATCCAGACATGTTCTTCATTTTCCAAGCAAGACACCGTCAGTCCAACTAGCATAACTTCACTTCATGAATGCATAAGTGCAAGAAAACACTGTTCAATGCATAAATGTAACATAAAAGTTTAAACCAGAATATTCACCTGAGGGAAGGAGGGGTATGTTCCATGTGGTGGCGGCATCACAGGGCAACCCCATGCATCAGCTTGCATCTGAAACATTGTAATTTCAACACATCAAATATTACCGTGTGATGTAAACACCACTGGTCACCAGGCTTCTCTGGCTAAAAAAGAAAAATGGAAGCATTTTCGATTTTGAAGAGAAAAAATGTTTTACCCCAGGATAAGGTTTCCAATGCCAAGTTTCTGTAGGCTGCCACGCAGGATAGCAAGGTTGATTCCACATCTGGACACCGGCCGTGTAACTGCTAGGTGATCCCCACGCGGGATAGACCTGACCAGCTGGGACGGTGTGATTAGAACAATATGGAGGGAAGGCCATGACTGGCTTATGTGGATAATAATTCCTTTGCGAAGGATCTCCCGGATTAGGCCATCTCCTGTTATTTTCCTTTGGCAAAATGTGTCGTCGATGCATTCTGTATTTCTGGTTGGAAATGAAAACTTATCCTCAGCTAAGAGAATTAGGAAAAACAAAACAATATGCAAATTAAAACACTACATCCTCGTGACATAGCTCCAAGTTTTGGTTCCGATATCAATTGTTGCACTGAAATAATAAGTATTGAGGTAGCATTTTTAGACAATTTCTCAAACTTTAGTAAAAATATAGGATCAGATTAGTCATCACTTTAGGATTAAACAAATTTCAGATGACTTGGAACAAAAATGAGAGGTGAACATTTTGGTAGAATCATCATGTTGGTCCCCCAGTTTTTGTGATTGACTATCACCAATACAAACTTTAACAACATGATCACGAACCATATTCAGTTTTTATATTATGTCAAGTTTAGTTATGCATAATAACAAGCGAAAAAAATATGACCTTTTCACGAATAATGAACTTTTGAACATGAACAAGAATGAACTATAGTAATCTAAATGTTATAATATCTGAGATATCATACAGAGCGTGTTTGACTATTTACTCTTTGAGGACTTGACAGAACCATATCCGAAGGAAATTTCATTTTCACCAAATAAAATGTTATTCAGATTTTTAGGCTACTGAGTTTCTACAAGTGATTGACTGAGCTTTTCCACCTGATTTTTAAATTTCTCCTAAAATTTACTGAAGAACATGCCACTATTCTGAAAAACAAAAAATAAAATTCATACGAAACATCTTATGTGCAATTAGGTAGAGTTAACAGTACCTCCCACTAATTGATACATGAATTTTCTGTCAAAAAGAAATGACTTAATTGAACTAAATGGAGAAGTATCAAAGGGAAATGTCTACCAACCTGGAGATGACTTGCCACATTATGTCTTGTCAAGCCTTCCACTTTCATCAGCTCTAATATTCGAGAAGGAATGGCCTGATCTACACCTAGTTGCTCTACAGCATGCACAAATTTTTTGTGAAGTTCAGGAGTCCAGTCTACCTGAAACCCAAACATAGACGAATGAAAATCTATATATGTTTATACCAAAATTACTCAAGATCATTTGAGAATTAGCTAAGTTGATTGTGGACAGTTTCATATTTAGAATGTAATCCGATATTTGTGAAGAATTTGAAGTTTTAACCAAGAAAATTGAGGCACATAAGACGAGAAAAACTAGTTTACATTTTGTACTTCTACAGAATCTGAAACATTAGTAGTTATGACTTGCTTGAGCAACTATTCGTGGAACGTTGTAGTGAAAGAGTCATGTTGCTTGTGTAGACTGAGAAGGAAGTGCTCTCAAACGGATGTATTTTACAGGACTAAGAAGATAGTGAAGCCATAGCTGAGGCATGGCATTTTGTAAGGGAAGCGACCACAATGAAATTTTGCTGTTTGATCTTATAACAGTTCGAAAATGTCTCCAGAAAACAAAAACTAGCCAAAGTTGGAATAGAGTTCAATTGAAACTAGATAGAAAACTTAAGTCTCTAAATAGAATACTTGCTTGGACCATTTGAATCAAAATATCTGGGGATAATACACGAGCATAAACAAATTCAAAACTGGGGATAACAAAGACATGCAATTCTTTACATTTGAAGTTGTTATGTACTATTCTTATGCAATATATTTCTCATGGGTGAGGGAGAGAGTTTTATGGAATTATTTTCAGTAATAACTGGGAACTATTGATAATAAAGTGGGTAGTTATTGGATTATACAAGATGAAATCAGGTTATGCACTTCTATTAAAAATTCAGGCGGAGTTCAGAAGTTTAAAAAATTACTAGCAATGCTCGCTCATGTACCAACTCTACCTTAACCTTCTTCTTATTTGATTTAGCCCCACAAGAATTTTTCAGCCCAGATGCTTTAATGGGGTTTCCAGCATCACCAGCAAAACCGTTGAGACGGTCTGTATTTTGAGGACGAGGAGATATATTACTTCTTTCATTTTTAAAACCATCAGTTGATTCATCCTCCTCCTTAATAACGGTATCCGACATTGTCGGAGGTGGGCTTGCCTGAACAGCAATCTCAGCAACTGAATTGCCACAAGTAGTTTCGACGGATTTAGATTCCCCATCTTGCTCCCCACTATCTTTCTCCACTGAACTATTAGTTTGATCTTGGCAATCTCCATCATCCAGTAATCTCACTCCATGTTTAAGTTGCGGAGTTGAAGGAGCCGGGTACTTATCACTTCCTGCCGAGTGCTCTCGGTCATGTTCATCAACTGGAGCCACATTTTCTGTTTCTTTCGACATTTGATTATTTGATTCACCCTTTTCCAGTCGGAGCTGCAGCATGGAAATCACAGATTCTTTGACGGGCAGTAGTGTTTTGGAGAGATCATTTCCTGCATTGAATGCCTGCTAAAAATGTTAGATGCAGAATCTTCATTTTCAGACAATAGCATTGTGATTTAATAGTATAAGTCAATAAAGTGAAGCCGGTCGTAGACTCACCTTGTGAACTACATGCTGCCATATATTTCTAAGTTTTTCCTCAGAAAGTGGTTTTAAGAGAAACTCAACTGCACCAAGCTGAAAAGGTCAAAGAAACCAGTATGAAAAAGGCTTTCCGTATCTTAGAATTACAACTTCATCATCAATGTCAGTCTCAGCCAAAAGTTGATTTAGAATGTTTAGGTCAAGATCAGTTAACTTTGAAATGTTAAAATATTTGCAACATGATTTAGTATCATAACAGGATGTGAAAATTTATAATAGTGCTCATGATCATAGAAATTTGTAAATGCATGGTAAGTAATATAGGAGCTTAGATTAAAAATCTCACCGCTATGCACTCCATCATGGTGCTCAGACATTGCACATTTGAAGTCACTGAAATTAAAGAGACATAACATATCAGGAGCTGTTAAGTAATTTTTAAATAAAAACCATTTATACATTGATTTAACAAATTAGCCAAAAAGACAAAAAACTTAAGACGCCGTTTCAACGATAAAGTTGTAGAAAGCAAAGCAAGCTAAAGCTATTGCATAAAGCCAAAATCTACTATTACTTTATACAAGAATCAGTGTGTTCAGCAAAATTGGAACATATTCACTTACTAATGGTGGGCAAATCCTTTGTAGTTTCGAGAAACTTTAATCTACCATGGCTGTTGTCTGTACTGACCTGTGACATTGGATACAATTTAAGTCAACTAGACCTGTGAGAAATACTCTGTTTGGTTTAACAAGAAACAAATTAGGGAAGAAGTGAATTTATGCTATAGGATGTGGTGAATATAGTTCCTTCGATAACTATGCAATACTATAACTTACCTATAGATTAATTAGAAATGAATGGAACATGTAGCCTGACCTATCTTCCAATATCGACTTTCTGAAAAATAATGAGTCAATCTAGTATTTGATTTCCTTTCAAAAAAGTAGTGTGTGCTCCTCGTATATGAGTTTCTGTTCTAGCAAAACCTTCCCCGTGTCACTTTTTCATAATACCAAATGCAGCCTTATTTGTGGACTTCCTAATACATGTATGCAAATGATTTTGTATATATAGCATATTACAAAGCTAACTATTTTTGGCTCTTGAGATGGAACTATTTTTAGTTCTTGCAATTTGTTGGAGTTCATTACCTCTACAATAGCAACATGGAAGCTCTCAGAGTTGTTCAAAATTGCAGACAAAGCTTCACTCTCATCGCAGAATGTGGAAACTGTAAATGACAGCCATAAAACGATGTCATCAAAAGTATTTACATTTTACACATACAGATACACACAAAAACATATAGAGAGAGTTTTTAAGTAGGACCAGAAGAACAAAAATGCAGATGCATAAAATGGCTAATCGAGATTCGAGAACAGATAAAGTGTACTTATCCAAAGATTTAAAAAAAAAAAAGAAAAGGAAAAAAAAAAACAACTATCTTGAATATAACACAACAAATCACAAGTATGTAATATCTAAAAATTATTATTTCTCATTGCTCAGTACATTTCAGAATATTCAATGCTCACAGGATAGACAAAATTGCAAGATCAGAATAATATAAACAGATACTAAAATGGGGAACCAACAAAAGGGGGAAAAAAGGAAGGAAATAATGAAATTCAAATTTAAAAGAAGCATTTTAAAATTGTCATCTTCTATTCCAATAAAGTTTAAATCCACAGGAAAAGAAGTTCAATGCAGTAGCAAATTTTTTTTTTCCTCCTATCATTTATCAATTTGAGAACTATAGGCATTGCAAGAAGAAAAACAATTACTCTATGAAGTGCCAAATCACATAAAGCTAAAGAATCACTCACATTCATTTAGTTAGGCATTGCATGGTCACCATAAGTTACCACTTAGGGAAAAGGTGGGGACCAAAATAAAGAATGTGTGGATTGAAATAAACCATTTCTATATCGGAAATAAAAACTGCTTAAATAGAGCATTAAAACTCTAACCAATATAGTCCATTTCCTCCAGCTTTGATCTTATTTCGGCTGCAGAATTATTGTCTTCATCAAGAATAAGGACCCTAAGGCCCTTAGGAAAATCTTTCCACTCTAATAAATCATTAGCAGTCCAAACCATTGCTGATTTGGCATCGTTCTCAGGCCACCGACAATTGTGCCACTACCGAGCAGAAATGGAGGATCATAACACTTGACAGATGATCCCTGCTTGAAAAGAAGGAGACAATACCTCTTGTGGGGACAAATCGAGTTTCAAAAGCCCATTTATCAAAGATCACCACTTATCAGCATATAATTTATTTCTGCAATAACCACATAACATTTCATATCAAATTTATCATCCCCTGATTTACAATTGTTAAATTCCTAACTCCAACAAATATAGATGTATATTGGGGTAGAAAAAGAAAAAAAAAAACCATTATAATCTTGAAATATGGAAATTTCCCAATAAACATCCAACAGATTGGAGGCACCCAACGTAAAATAAAAAAATATTTTACAGTATCAATAAATTAAACAATGAACATAGAGCTTAAATTAAATAACTCAGCAATTAAGCATAAAAAGGCTATAAGGCAAGTTTGACACTTCACATGAATGCTTCTATTATTGGATCATATATTTAATTTCAATTTCTGTACCAAACATTGCTTATTCAGAATATCCATATGAATAAATGATGAAAAAGGCATAGCAGTCTATGTTAAGTTTAAGATCATATTATTAGCTAATGTCACTTTTAAATAAAATATATATGAGATCTTAAGAGCAATGATAAAAAGACAAAAGTAAACACACACACACATATCAATTAGTCATAGAGAAAAATATGTAGGAAATCATAAAAAAACCATAAGAACACCTGAGAATACTACATAGTGCAACTAGATACAGGGAGAAAATTAGCCAAAATCTTCACAAATGCATGCATGCATAACAAGAAAATCACAATTCACAATGGTCCACTAAAATCCCAGAAATATAGTTCAAGTCATGTGTACATATATACATAAACACATATTATATATATATATATATATATATATATATATATATATATAAACTAAGTGTGATTATACCTTTGATAAAGGAAGAAAAACTCTTGATCTCTGGTCTTCTTATACTGCTAGTTGTATATCAAGATTAATGTTGGGGGAGAGTAAAAACAGAAGTGCAGAGAGAGAAATACAGAGGAGAGAGAAACAAAATTCAATGAGGGGAGTAGAGACTAGAGAGAGATTGGTTTAAGTGCGCTTTCTGGAGCTGTCTGTGACTTCTGTACACTTTTCTGCGGACCACAGAATATGCAAAAGACTCTCTCCCTATGGTCAATACAAACTTTTCTTAAACTTTTTTTTTTTTTTTCCTTACTTTTAAGTTTTTCAACTTTTTCCCAAAATCTATGTAAAATTACTAAACTTTTTTAACCTTTTATGGGTAAATACAAGACTTAACGACTCGACACTGACACTTTTCATCATGAACCACTTTAGGATCACAAAGTGAAAATTTTTGGCATGACCTTTTTATAAGGAGAAAAAGATTACAAATAATTAAAAAATTATTATATATTTTGAAAATTGTGATTCTATCATGAAAACTAGTTCTGAATTCTTTATTTTACATACCTTTCGAAAAAAAAAAATTCTTTATTTTTCATTTTGAAATTTGTGAGTCTAATCATGAATACTGGTTATGAATTTTCTCTTCATTGTCATACTTAAAAGTATGAAAAATAATTGGCGCCTTGTATTCTGAAAATGGACTGAAAATGATATGAGATAAATCTTAACAGTACTTTTAGGGGTTGTAATCTAATTATATTTTCTTATCTATTAAAGTAAAGGGTTGAATATTCAAATTTAGTAAAGTAAGTGCGTATTTCTCACCGACTTAAAAAATAGAAGAACGAAAAAAAAGTCTTAATCATAATAATTTAGTTATTTTTATTGAATCTCCATTTGTATGAAATTTTAGTATTAACTTTTTACACAAACCGTTGAACATCCAAAAGTAGGAAAATATTATAATTAGAATAATCGTTCTTGCTTTTTTAATACTTTTTACTAGTGTAATTTTTTGATAAATTATCTTAACAGACAAATCACACGTGTCAAGAACACAATCAACTACTTAAAACATAAATTGTGCATCACAGCAATACAAAAATATTTATGTGGTTCGGTGCATAATCTACATCTATGGTAAAGATTGACGAAAAAAAAGGAGATCACAAATTTTCAAATACTCAAACCTATCTATCTTTATTTCGACTTTCTCTCGGTCCGTGCTTTAAACTCTATCACTTTTACATGTTACGTTACAAGATATAAATGTCTATACAAGAAAAAAAAACAAGTCAAAAATGGATAATAATTTTGAAAGCCATGTTGTTACCAAAATTAAGCTAACATGTGACTCGAATCAAAACAAAATTCGAACAAACCATCAAACACCTCATTTATGGATAAGATTGGCACTATGAATTTGCACAAATTAATTGCCCTAAACGCTTATACGCGTCCTTACGCTTTCAACTCTCACTTATTTTCGTGTACCAACGAAACATCCAACTAAAGTTTTTAATGAGTCACAAGACTCACCAAAGTCTTTGATGAAGGTAAGTTGTGGTGGTCCTAGGTACTATTTTTGTTCATCATTTATTATTGTAGTTAAGAAAAAGTAAAAAATAAAATCAAGTACTCTATTACTCCTTTTTATGGTATGATGACAAAGATTAGACTATGTTTTCTGATTTCCTATATAAAAAATTTTATTTCTTGCTTTGGCAAAAGAATTAAAAAAATAAAATAAAAATAAAATGTCGTGTTAGGTAAATTACACATAAATGGTTGAAGAAGTTGTTGCACCACAAAAATCATACAAGAAATTGCTTGAAATATCAATGTGTCCTGTTTCTATAGAGTCATAACTCGTGCATAGAATTGGAGTGCAATGGAAAATATGTTTTGACTTTTAAGATTTATAATATGAAATATTTTTGTATAGAAGTTTATATATATATATATATACCATAAAAGAATAACAAAAAATGATATATATATATATATATATATATATATATATATATCATTTTTTGTTATTCTTTTATGGCATAAAAATGCCACTAGTTTGTTTCTGTTTTGTTTACCCATTTTTACTAGTGTTTTTTTTGTAAATTTTTTATCTCTCTTCATTGTTTTGTATTACTGATTTTAAATATAGGGGAAAAAATTCTAAATATAAAAAGTACCTATTTTGAATATTTTATACATGTTGATATTTGCTTACAAGAGTATTTTCGACAAATAGCCTAAGTATATACTTGAAAAATAACTTTAAGAAAAAAAAAAAAAAAATTTCTAAGGTCAAGTTTTGTGTCCTACTTCAATTATTTTCAAGTATAAGCAGCTAAACTTATGACAATAATGTCAAGAAAACCTTTCAAAAAATATATATATATTTTTTTGTCAAATCGAAATATTCCAAGCTGAAAAAGTAAAAGGTTGAGGGAGGACAAATTCGAAATCTTCAGCCTTAAGGAATTGTTCAAGGATAAGTCGGTAGTTAGTTTAGTTAGCAATTTATAAGCTAAAGAATGATTATAAGATTCACTTAAGTCCATTTTATTATAGCCAACGTGTAACCGATTAGTATACCAAAATTTACATATTATTTGTTCCCATGGACATTTTTAAGAAGGACAAGTATTTGTGTGGTTTCGTTATTAATATTTTTTAAATACGTGTGAGACACTAAACACTTTACATAAATAAAAATAAAGAATTATTATTTTAGACACTTATATTACACTTTTCAATCACTTAAGTCTGACATTTTTCACATTTCTAACATAATTCTTATATACACATTTTTTCACATGTGGAGTAGTGATGTCCACAGTAACCATGAAAATAATGCCAACAAATTATAAAGTGTTTAACTTTTTTATTTAAGAAAAATTGACATGATATATATGTGAAACATAAAATGATACTTGCAACTCTTAATATAAAACTTAAAGAGTAAATTACAGTGAAACTCTTGTACAAGTTAATTCTTTGTTTTTTTTTTTTTTTGATAATGACACTTATCACATGTTGGATCCAAATAGAGCTAAATAAATGTGAATTGTCTAGTTTGTCCTTCAATAAAATATTAATTTTTGACGTGAAATATCAGCTCATTTAAATGACGAAACTACCCTGGTGAGTTTTTTATCTCGGTGCAGTTGCAGCAAGTCTATTGAAATTGTAAGCACAATAATTGGTCCGGATATATAAAGGTCTGACATGTTTGATCAGTTTTTGGCTACTCTGCTTTTTTGCTTGAAAAGGTAGTGAGAGTCGAATTGGTGCATTAAAAGTACCATGATTTAAGTTAGGCAAAAAAGCATTAAAACGTCCTTTCGCTGTTAAAAATTAGCATTTTACTTATTTGGATTACAAAAATCGGACAAATCAGTATCTCAATTATAAAAAATGAGCAGTTTAACCTTCTGGCAGTTCTTTCTGGCTCATTGTCGATCACTGACATTGTATATTTATAAAAACACCCATTATAATTAATAATTAAAAAAAAACAAAAAAAATTAAAATTGTGAAATACTACCAATACCCTCATAGTTATTCTAAGTGTAAAATTGAGTTTGTGACTAACAAAAAAAAAAAAAAACAAAAAAAAAGTATTATCCAGTTATGCTTAAAATCTATATATATATATATATATATATATACATATATGTATATATATTACATGTATCAAGGAAGACTTTTACAAATAGTGCACAAGTATTTCTGAGACTAACCACTTTTAAATGATAGGAACCAACAATGACGACGAATGGCAAGGACTTATCGGCGAGTATGCAAGTCCAAACTGACTGTCGGTGAGTGAACTGGCCAGCACGCAGGTCTAAACTGCAGCCACAGAACTTACCGGCGAAGACGCAGGTCTGAACTGCTGCCATGGAATGAACAGGCAAAGTGCGGACTGAACGGACATGGAACTTACCGGCGAGCATGCGAATTGAATCAACGATGAGAAACAGCTCGATAGTGACGGAGTGCGAGCAAGCACTATTGGTTAAGTTCTGCAGATGGGTTGGGTGTTTGGGTTACGATTGGTGTAAGGGTTTTGCAATTGGGTATTGCACATTATTTGTTGGAACCAGTATATTAAAACGGTGAGTATCGCGGCTTAGAAGCACGTAATCGCTTCTTGAAGATAGTTGAAGCCTCTCCTACGTGCAACAGAAGACAAATGGCAGCACTATCTCCAGGATTCAACTAAGCCCGTATATCAAATCTGTGCGTTCATGAAGGTTGCACTTCTTCTTCATGAACCTGTGTATTTATCTCCGTCTGATCAACTGAAAGTATGAAACTCACACACTTAAACTCAATAGTTTGAAAACACTTTTTCAAATCTCTTTTTTTCTCTTACTTTTATTGAGAGTGCGTATTTTGTAGGATTTGTAAACTTACTATTTATATTAGTAGAAGTGGGAATGTTATTAAAATGGTATAAATGAATATATATTCATTATGTTCGTAAATAACATATTAAATAAAGTAGATTAAATGTATCAGGTGAAGAACTTTTAAGTTTAGTGTTTGTAAAATACTTAAAGTCTTAAATATAGATTAATAAAATCAATTTGAAACATAACTCCAACATTATTTACACGTTGAAGAAGATGAACAGTGACAACATGATGCTATTTGTAAATTCAGAAACTCTAAAATTCAAGCAATTCTCTCATCTGGATCTCTCTCAATCGCTCCAAAATCTTTAATTGGGGAAAATATTTGGTACTCACTTTGCAGCTAATCTATTACCTTTTTACTCTAGTAAATAACTAATTTAAAACTGCATACAAATTGAAGTTGAAAATATGTAAGTGAGGTGGTGGTGGCTTATAGATAGTGTAGGTGATAGGTGGTTTCAGTGGGTGTGGGCCCTTTGGGTTTGGATGGCGTATAATTTGCTGAATCTAGTGATTACATGAAGTTAGGGTGTGGTTGCTTTGCAAGATGGAGTCCGCTTGTGTCGCAAATTGTGATGACAATTGTGCCTTACATTCTTTTTTATTATTAATGAAGTTTTTAGATTAGTTTTCAAATTTTTAATTTTTGGCATTCCAGAAGAGTTAAACCTCTAGGTGGCTTTCTTGCAGGAACCATTACGTTTCAGTACCGATCATTTGAGCCCTATTGCTCCAAGTGCTTTCTTAACTTCTACCAGTTATGATATATATATAAAGTATAAAAATAGCTTAACTTCTTCAACTTTGATGGAGT